TCCTGGTATTATCTGCAAAATTCACTGTCACTTCAGTTTATTAAAGAAAATAAATTCTTCTCCCTGTTCTTCTCCCTTTCTTATTATTTATTCCACTTACATAAGTCATAAACAGCTATTATTTAAGCATTAGACACTCTGGCTTTGACTCTCCACCCCACACATTAGCCATGTAACTTCATGCAAGCCACTGACCTCTCTCTAAGCCCATGCTTCTTCCTCTGCAAAATGGGGATACTAAGAATGCATATTTCATAGAGTTGTTGTAGGATTAGGAATTGAAATAAAAAACCCATGTCAAATACTGAACAGAGTGTCCTGCACACAGCAAGTGCATGATAAATGTTGGATGTTATAATGATGAGGCCAGCAATGCAAGGACCAGTGAGCAGGACAACTTTTCAAAAACAGCCGTTCTAAGGAAACCTGTGAGTAAGCCACTTTCCCAGACCAAGGGTTCCCGGGGAATTGCTAGTGATGTTGCTGCCTGGGGTAACAGGAAGGAACAGAGGCAATTATACAGCGTGCAACAAAAATAATTTCATTTCTAATGCCTTTCCCCTGCTGGGCCACTCAGAACCCAAACAATAACAACAGGCAGGGGTGGAAACGAGAAGGGCAGGCACATTCTGAAGGGGCCCAATGACAAACAGACAAGCCCCAGGACTCACTTTGTCTCCCAGACATCTGTAGGGGAGAGTCCTTGGGACTGCAGCTGCAATACTGTGCTGAGTGGCAGCTCCCTGGAAGGCAGGATTGCCCAGGGGCCTGTTGATGGGGCCTCTTGGGGCTGAGTCAGCCTGACTTCACTTTTCATCCTCTGTCTGGGAGCAGGCTGACATCACTCAGAGGGCTCCAGGGAAAGTCAGGGGTCCTCCCTTCCTCCTTTACTGTTCCTGCAGACAGCAAAGACTTCCCACATCTCCTCCCGGGAAAAGTAAAAAATTTTGCAGTTACTAGCAGATTATAACAAAAATTACCCAATGTGCATTAAGTTGGTGGTTGTATTCAGTGCATATTTAACATCAGCCTATGTTGGCAGCCCCTGTGAGCACTTCTTCACTCCCACCTTTATGTACTGCCCCATACTCTTCCAATTGTCCCCAGCAGCCTCTAGGTATCTGAATTCCAGCAATATAGCAGCACAGCCTCTCTAACCAGGGGAGGAGGGAGTCCCCAGGCCCCAGTGAGTCATCTCTGCTCTTCTCTGTGTACTGGAGCCAGCAGGGCCCTTGACTCCTCTGCAGAGAAACATTCCCATGTCTCCCAGGGAGAGAAGAGAGTGCACTCTCCCAGGGGCATCCTGGCTCCTGAGAGTGTTGGTTTAACCCATTTATCAGATTGAGGTAAAAGGGAGAAGATGAAAGACAGAAAATATGTAGTCCAGAGGACAAGTTTCTCTACTTTCTGTGGACCAAACAGAAGCAACCCAAGTGGTTGAGTCTTATAGTTGCAATTCTCCTCTAGCCCATCTACTGATACTATAAGCAAACTATTTTCCAAGCCTATGCATTTAGATAATATGATTCTATTGTTTAAAAAAATAAGAATTTCATTGGTAATGGGGACAGGTGAGAGACAGGGGTATATTAACATTGGGATTCTAACAGTATTAAATGAACTAAAAAGGATAGAGATAATATCAGCCCACCACCCAGAATTGGTAAATAAGCAATTGGTACATGCTTTGTGGCTCCATTATGTATCATGAAGAGCTGAAGGATACATAAGCCCAAAGTCAACCTGATGTCCTCCCACTACCACAAATGACTTCCTGTGGGTGGGAGGAGGGAAAATGGTGCTGGAGTTCAACTAAGTAAAAGGCCATATAGAAGAGGCTACCTGCTGAGAAGCTGAGCCAAGCTGTGCCCTTTCTATTGCCTGTGGTTTTCAAGCATTTCCTATATACAGGATGTTCCCCTGCTAAGCAAAGTGCCTGGGAGGATGGAGAAGCTTTGGTTGCTGAGTCCAATCCTAGAACCCAGGAACTAGAAACTTGGCACCACTCTATTTTGAGAGAACTTCAATAGCAAGAGAGACTAAGTATTTCTGGGCAGCTGCCCTGCTTGTAGCAGGGGCATCCAGGATGGATCTCTGGGGAGCCCAAATAATCTAAGGATCTAAAGCCTTCTAAACAATGTCTTAGAGAAAATGCAAATAATAGAACCACCATTCTGAGTTCTTTTCAAGACTTCATATCTTAGGTTACTGAGACCTGCTGATTCTGGGAGATACTGCAAATATGGTATGGGGTCCTGGCATTATAAAATCTCAACTTTGATTCTTCACTCCCATCCTAGGTACTGAAACACCTTCACAGCTGGAAATTCATAGACATTAAGCTACAAAAGGAAGGAAAACCAGAGGGTGACAGGACAGAAAGAATGAGCTACTGGAAAGGCAGACTTGGCTCAAGGAGTTCTCATAAGCCCACCACATCACGCCCACCACATGTGGTTTGTGGGTACTTATTTACCCAGAGAATGGTGACATCAGACAAGTCTGGCTTCTGCAGATCAATCTCGGGAGTATCTGAAGTCCTATTTCTGATGAGACCCTGAATTTCTCTACTTTCCTTGGTAAAAGAGGAGAAACAGAGGATTTCTTTCATTTTCAGGTTCTTCTACATTGTTCTCAAGATTACAATTGCATATTTTGGACAAAAATAATCCAACTTTCCAGGTGAAGATAGAAGACTGACTAGCTCATAAACATCATCACCAGCTGATTCACCCCTACATGCCTCTTAGTATATGGAACACAAAAATCAAATCAATACAGTCAATATGTCACTGCTAGGAGGGCATCAGCGGCTACCAGCCTTGGGGAGCATGAAGAGCTACTTCGTTGAAATAATCACTCCTTGGCATTTCAGGAGCACTTGTGTTAGCAGAGCACAGTGCATGCATAGTGAAAGACCATAACTCACCCAGGAGGGAAGGAAAGCAGGGCCAACACATGGAGTTGGCCCCCGGAGAGGGGGAGTTAGTATTTATGAAAGCCCACTTGATGCCATATTGGGGATCCCTAAAGAGGCCCAAAATCAGTTTTTGTAGGAAGAAAAGTCTGGCAGGATCCTGTGAGAGAGGAAATTGTCATACCCTTTGTTGCAGCAAAGAGATTTTTTTGTTTTGTTTGTTGGTGGATGATATACTTCCACCAACAGTCACATGCTTGAAAAATTTAACATGTATAATTTCAGAAGACAATGAGATAAATTAGAGGTCTTAATTTAAAAATGTCCACAATCTCCTTGTAAGGAGTCTGAACTTTCATGAGGAGTGATTTCCCAATGTACATAGGAATTATCCAGATATATTGCTTAAATATAAGCTCCAGGACCTTTAATAGAGATTCTTGTTCAGCATTTCTTTGAGAAAGAAGCAAAGATACGCTTTTTAAATCAGATTCTCCCATGATGATTCAGATACAGAGAGTTCATTCCTAACACCCCCTCCTCCCCCATGAATTGCTGCACTGACCTCTACAACAGATCAGCATCTCTCCATTTTTCAGGCATCTTTCAATCTCGGGTTGTACAAGGAAAGTGGAAGAAGCTCAGAACACTCTTTTAAAAACCAATACTGGGATTTCAAAATGGTCCTCATTTGGCTCTAGGGCTAACCCTCCCAAACCTCTTCCCTGTCAGATGTCTGAGTTCGGAGATAGTATCAAAACCCCTGAGAAACAAATGTGCTGTTAATTTTGAAAACTAAGCAGGGACCTTCAAGACAGAGGCTGGGACCCAGCAAACCAGCTTGCTGCTTCTCTTGAAATTGATCCCATTCAACAAGGTCTCTGTCTCTGCCTACCCTCATTAAACAGCAGCACACAGGGAAAGATGAAAAGAATGCTTCTTTTTCAAGTGGTCCTAATGCTGCAAAATGAATCAGGGATAAGCACAAATATTTGCATCTGAAAGAGGGGGGAATCTCTGAGCATCTAGTTCCCTGGAGAGAAGCAAGGATTAGCCTGAAAGGTTTGTAACCTGGTCAATATCCAGAAATAGATGGATCTGCAGAAGCTGAAGAGTGATCCACAAAGTGCCTTTTGCCTCACCCAACCTCAGAAACCCCAGGACAAAAAGTAGCGTGGTGCCATATGGGCCAAAAGTGACTTGCTCACACAGCTTCCCTGTGGCGGAGAGAAAGAGCCTGTCCCTGCGGAGCTGCAATGCTGTGACTTGTGTCCATGGTGAAGAAGCCTGTAATGTGGATGCACAGGCACCCTCTTACCTCTGTTCCTCAACAGAAACCGCTCACAGGCTGCCCGCTGCAGACAGGGATGGGGATGTGCTCTGTCTGGCGTTTAAAGCTGACTCCTACCTCGTACACAGTCCTAAAGGGGCTCTCAGTTCTTTTCAGAGTTGGACAGTAACCCTTCGTCACTGTCCTCACCATCACCCACATTCCCAAATCGAGATGGGTCTGGAATCCCAGTCTTCTCACCCGAATCTCAAACGGAGAAAAGGCAAATAAGAATGAAAATACAGAACCACGGACAGCGGCAAACCTAGGAGTGGTATAACTGAAACCCGCCTCTCCCTCAGTTTCTGCCCTTTGAAACTGAAGTCTCAGGTTGCACCAATACCAAGTTGCCAAAAACAATCCTTCCTCCTCTGGGGGCCGTGGGAAACTGGCTACGTGCCCTGGGGCCGGAGTTCTGGTGCCAGGAAAAAAAAGTCCCCTCCCAAGACGCTCTCGGAGGGGCTCACTCTGGTAGCACCCGCGAGTGCCCAGGGGCACGCATTCTCGCCCGGGCGGCGCAAAGGATACCAAGAAAGGGGGAGAGGGGATGGCAGCCGCCGGGTTCCGGACCTACACCAAGCAAGCTGTCCGACGGAGACTGTGGATAACCCGACCTAGGCTGGCGGCTCCAGGTAGTCAGCGCCAGAGTGGCCAAACTTCTAGTCCGGACCGCGCAGCTCACGGAGCTCCCTCTCCTCTCCCTTCGCCCTGCCTCGACCCCGGTCGTCAGTCGCTCCATCTAAATGGGCTTACCTTCAAGCCATAGGGCGCCCGGGGGCAGAGACTGCACCGGCTGCTCGAGGCTTCCAGCTCCCGCCGCATCCACGCACGGCCGCCCCTCCCGCAGCAGCCGTCCGGGGCCGCCGCTCTGCTCGGCGGCCCCTTGGTCCCGGCCCCGCCGCGCCGTTCAGAGCCCCTGCGGGCAGCCGCTCGGTCGGCTCTAGCCCACGAGAAGCAGTGGACCGGCCGCGGCGGGGCGGGGCGGGGTGGGACGGGGCCGGCAGCGGGGCGGGTGGGCAGGATCGCTGCTCTCGGCCGAGGCGCGGAGGCGGCCAGCTCTGGCACTGAGGCTGGACAGCTCCGCGGCGCCGGAGCCCCGGGAGTGCGGGAGGGGAGGGGGTGGGGCCGCCCTGGCCACGAGGCGCCCCAGGGCCCCGCCCCTGGGACAGGCCCCACCCCACAGCCCCGCAAGCGTAGGTGCCTGTTCCGCGCACCAGAGCTTCAGGTACCAGAGAGTACTTGCGGGATTCCGCAAAGCCTGGCTTTGAGGCGGGAACTGAGCTCTCTGGGTTGGAGCCGAGAGCGGAGCCCTCGGAGCTCCTCCTACACTTTCTAAGTAACGCACTGTATACCCAAGGCTACCTTGGGCAAAGCGGTCTCCATGCCTACTTTAACGCTGTCTCCCTTGGAGGGGTCAGAGACTAAGGGTTGGGAAAGAGCCATTCGTTCAGCAAGTCACTTAAAGAGGAGGAGGTGTCGGGAAAGATTCAGGATAGGTTTTCTGACCTCCGGTCAGGAAATCTCTGTAGCCAGTTCTGTTGCTTGACTTTTGCAGAGTAAAAGCCTGGTAGGACTTGGAAATGCAAAAGAAGGCCTAGGGATTCCAGTTCACCTTTGACTCCAAACAGGTGTGTGTGGCCAGGAGGAGGAAGAGAAAAAGAAGTGGTTCTCTGTTGCATGCCCTGCCCAAGGTCATTTGGTCTGCAGAGGAATTTTCTTGCCCCCCTCTTTTCTTCCTCTCTCCTTTTCTTTCCATTTTCAGCAATTTGTTGCCGACTGTCCTCCCTCTTCTGGGTTCTGTGTCAGATTCAGCGGTCACAAAGAGAAATAAAGCCAGGCTCCTGTTCCCACAACTGCCAATTCAGAGAGGAGATCTCCAGAGAAACATTTGCAGCTTAAAAGAGGCCCCTTGGAAGATTAAAAAACAAAAAAAAAGAAAAAAATACCAGATCTCCCAGGATCTGGTCATGGAAGGAACAATGCAAGGTCCCAAAGAGGAGTAATGGAACAGCAACCCAAGCAGAGGGAACATCATAAACAAAGGACTGTGTGTGGCAGGAGTCAGCCCTGCACGACTAGAATTGAGCCACTCTGGGCCACAACAGACTAAATTTCCTCCACTGGCCACACAATTATAGAAAATTAGGGTTGGAAAGGACCTTGGCATTGATCTAATCCTTCTTCACTTCAGAGGGAGCTGAGGCCCAGAGAAAATGAGAGCCCTTCAAAATACCACAGAGATCCCACAATGGAGCAGTCCCTGTCTCCTGATACAAAAAGCCAGCAATTCTCTCAAATATGGCCAGCTATGGAAGCATTTGGGGGAAGTGGAGAAGCTGTGAGTGGGCACAATGCACCCTCCCCTGCATATGCCTTTGGCACTACTATCATGAATTGTCCCCTATTCCCCTGCAGGCTTGTTAGGGTGGTATTACAACAATCACATCTTAACATTTTTGTCATACTTGCTTTTAAAGCAAACATTATAGACATATTTGAAACCCTGGTGTTTTCCTTATTTACCCTTGGGCCATTCATTCCAAGATTTAATCCATTTAAGGAAGAATTAAATCCAGCACCCCTATGTAAATTTCAGTGATGGGACAGAATAGTCCTAGAGAACCTAGGTTGGTGTCCTATGTTACCTATCAGTAGTGTGACTTTGGTTGAATCACTAACCTCTTTCAGTCTCAGCATTCCTATCATTAAATTGGGGCTAATAATATCTGTCTTTCCAAGCTGCCTTGAGGATAATAGATAAGGATTTGTTAGACAAACTATGATATGGGCAATCTCTGACTGCTCCAGAGTGAAGAGATTATCTTTGCTTGATCAGGAGGCAGAGGCAGGAGCCAGATGACCTCCATGGGGATGCACCAACACAAGGACATGTAGTTCTGTGCTGCCTTTTTTACCCCAATCTTGCTCGGCTGAGTGGATTTCACGCTGGCTGTGAGTGAGACGGATGGATCTTTTAGTTTTCAATTAGCAAACGCCTTGCTCTTTAAACAAGCTGCATGGCAAACAGATGCACTGAGTGATTGATGACAGGGAACATCTGCAGCCAAGCAGTGGCTGCACCAGAGGCTCCCAGCTTCCCAGGCTGTCAGGTCCCTCTGGAGGTCATTTGGTGCCTCCCCTGCCTCCAGGCAGAACTGTACCTAGTCCAAGTAGGCCAAGTGGGGGCAGGATGTCCCTTTCCTGATAGCTTTCCTGGAACTTCTTATTGGGAAGTTCTACCATTTTTCTGAACTCCTTATTGGGAAGTTCTACCTGATGTTAGGAAGACCTAAACTTTAATTTACTTCTACTTTTTTATTGTTGAAAATGGTTAACAAATGGATAATAATGGATATTAGGGGTGACTTAGTCCATTTGGGTTGCTATAACAAAATACCATAATGGAGGCTGAGAAGTCCAAGATCAGGGTACCAGCAGGTTTGGTGTCTGGTGTGGGCCTGCTTCCTGATTTATAGATGGTAGCTTCTAACTGTTCTCACATGGTAAAAGGGGCAAAGAAGTTCTCTTGGGCTTCTTTTGTAAGAACACTAATCCCATTCATGAAAATACCAGTCTCATGACCTAGTCACCTCCAAGGCCCCACCTCATCATACCACTACCTTGGAGGTTAGGATTTCAGCATATGATTTCAGACCTTAGCAGGGGTAGAAGAGGGATTGGGGCAGGTGGAGGTTTTGTTGGTTTTTGCAATAAGGACATAAAGGACTGAGCAAACAGAAAATAAAAGAGAGCTAGGTCTCCCTCCCTTGCTAATAGAACTGCCTTCCAAGGGGGAAAATGAAGTCAGCTGGGGCTCAGAAAAGTGGTCTCTTGGACTCTGAGACACCTGCAGAAAGACACAGATTGTCACAGCCCCCCTTCTGAAAACTATTCTATAGAAAATAAGGGAAGTGCCCTCATCTGAGAGGTCATGAGACAGAGCAAGGTCCATAGCAACAGTGGGATCACAGAGGACTTTGTTCATGCCCAAGTTGCACAGTCTCAAAAGCTGTGAGTGCTATGAGGTTCATTGTCCTCAATTGTACATGGAGATAGAGATCCACACCAAGGTACTATGGGAAGATTATGTGGAAGGAATGATAACTGATATATCTCACAGGATGTTTTCTCCACTAACAGACAACTACAGCTAGAGGAAAGGCCATTGCCCCCCATCCACGTGAAGCTGCAGCTCTGTTTCTTAACCTGCTTTGTAGAGAATAACTGCAATCTTATTTTCCAGCTATGGAATTTTTTTCCTTTCTCCTCTTTCTTTGTCCTTTGTCATTTTGTTCTTACGCCATTTGCACATGACTCTGGGAACACTGGAGTGGTAATCCATCTGGGTCAGAGGAAGAGTAGGGTGAAAGGAAAATGAACTTGACCTTTTTGTGCTTGCTTATATCTCTCAAAGTGCAGAAACCTTTAAAGAGGGGCAGAGTTCTTGGTTACTGATGCTGCTGAGAGAGCCACAGCCCCAGGACAGAAAATCCAGTGAAGGGGCTGAAAATTCAGTGAAGGGGCTAGCTTAGGCTGGCCTCCCCAAGAAAGGCGGGGAAGGAGAGAGGTTTAGGGCACTGTCCCTATCCAACACAGGAAAACAGAAAATTACCTGAGAGTTTTGACAGCTGTATGTGTAATTCGCCCTTAGAGAATGATCTCCTCATAGGAAGACTCTAACAGGCCTTTCCACCTCAGTGTGAAATGGACATTTCTAGATGTTCTTTGCCCATCCTCCTATTTTGAAAACATAAAGAATAGAGGTGTGATCTCTTTTAAGAAATTCTACTCTGCAGTTCTTCATGGTTACAAAGGAGATAATTGATTATCCAAGCTTATTTAATTTGCCTAATAGGAAAAGGTCATAAGATATACACCCTATAATTTTACAACTATGTTCATAGTAGCATTATTTACAGTAGCCAAAGGGTGGAAACAACCCAAGGAGCTATTTACATGCATAAATAAAACATGCTATACACAGATGATGGGATATTATTCAGCCTTAAAAATAAGGAAATTATCACATGTGCTACCATGTGAGTGAACCTAAAGACATTATGGTAGGTAAAATAAGTCAGTCACAAAATGACAGATGTTGTATGATTTCACTTATGGGAGGCATCTGGAGAAGTCAATCCATAGAGATGGGTGAACGGGGTGTTGCCAGAGGCTGGAGGCAGGAACAAATGGGAAGCTATGTAGTGGGCCTGGGGTTTCAGTTCTGGAAGATGAATAAACTCTAGAAATGAATGATGGTGATGGCCCATGACAGTGGCAATGTATATAATGTCACAGAACTATACACTTCAAAATGGTTAAAATAGTGACTATTAAAATACATTTTTATATCTTTTAACACAATAAAAAACATATACACTGTGTTTCAGTGGACACAGCAGTGACCACACACACGGAGAGGAACACAAAATAAGACATCTTAGAAATGACCAGGTAAGTAGGTGGGAAAGTGATAGTGTTGTCCAGGCAACAATCAAGTCACATACAACTTCTGAAATTCTGTATTTAGAGAAGTATAACCACCTGGAGTTCTTAGGCAGCTCCCACAGACAACAAAGCACTTTCTCAGATGTGATCTCATTGTACACAGTTGATGGGACATTATTAAGCCTTAAAAATAAGGAAATTATCATTGAGATGTCTGGTATGTCATGAAGGTGGGAGTGCACCAGGAAGGCTGCGAAAGGGGTCCCCTTCTGGAGAATGGAAGCAGTCAGTGAAACCAGGATGGTGGTCTTTGTGATGGTCAATGAATGCAATGACCACAGCCACTGGGTTCTGAATGAGGTTGTAATGAGGTTGAGTTCAGAGAACCTCAGTTGTGCAGAATAGCTCCCTCCCTGCTTTCTTTGGTGAGAGTATTAAGGAGCAGAGGTATTCTTAGTCTATAAACTAACCAGCC